TTGTCCTTGTTGAACCTCATCAGATTTCTTTTGGCCCAATCCTCCAATTTGTCTAGGTCCCTCTGTATCCTATCCCTATACTCCAGGGTATCTACCACTCCTCCCAGTTTAGTGTCCTCTGCACACTTGTTGAGGGTGCAATCCACACCATCCTCCAGATCATTCCTCTCAGGTCAGCTTGACCTCGGCCTACTTTAGTCACTTATGCTAAGTTAGTAACTTATGCTAAGTTATAAGAACAAACTTATTGAACATTCATATAAAATAGCATATAAGCGCTTTTTTATAACAAAAGTAAACAGACCAACTGGAAAAACCTGGTTTGATGCTGTTTTTAAAATCTCGTGATTTTTTTGGGGGGGTGAATCCTAACTCATGATTTTTTATCTCTGGTGGTTGGCAATACTGAAGGGGGCTCCCCCTGGTGTCAGGGCCTGGGCCAGTGCCTCCCTCCCCTGGCTCTCTGATCCAGGAAGTAGATATGAAGCTGTGACTTCTGTTCCCAGGAATGGAGCTGGCAGTCCCCTTTCTCGCCCGCCAGAGGAGGGCTGCCTGGGCAGCCAGAAAAGCCACCCACCTCTGCAGCCCAAGGTAAGCCCAGCTGGGGCAAGTCGGGTTCCTGGGGGTTGGGGCACCCAGCAGCCTTTGAGTCCTGGGTGCTGCAGCTCTCAGCTCCTGCTGAGCTCTAAGCAGGGGCTTGAGGCAGAAGACTACTGTTTGTTACAGGGATTGGTTCCTGGGTTAGTGTTTCTCTGGTGTAGTGTGTAGTTGCTAGTGAGTATTTGCTTCAGGTTGCGGGACTGTCTGTAAGTGAGGATTGGCCTGCCTCCCAAGGCCTGTGAGAGTGGGGGATTGTTTTCCAGGATAGATTGTAGACTGTTGATGATGCACTGGAGAGGTTTTAGCTGTGGGCTGTACATGATGGCCAGTGGTGTTCTGTTATTTTCCTTTTTGGGCCTGTCCTGTAGAAAGTGACTTCTGGGTACCAGTTGTGACGTTGCACTCCATATGCCTTATGAAAATATGCTTGGAGTGTGAATATAACGTAACCGGAATATGCTTTATGCAAAAGGTCACTTGTAAGTATGATTACAAAGCTTATAATCTACTGAGTGTGTTCATCCTATTTCTATGTATGTATGTATCATTCTTGTATCTAAAACTAGAAATATGAAGTTAACTCTGAGGTCCTATTGTAATTATGCAAAGTGTGGGCCATTAATGGTGGTTTAGAATCTTGATGGCTCCCATTGACCAGGACAATTGGTTGTAAATGGCTCTTGGGGGAGGGATAGCTCAGTGGTTTGAGCATTGGCCTGCTAAACCCAGGGTTGTGAGTTCAAACCTTGAGGGGGCCATTTAGGGATCTGGGGCAAAAACTGGGGATTGGTCCTGCTTTGAGCAGGGGGTTGGACTAGATGACCTCCTGAGGTCCTTTCCAACCCTGATATTCTATGATTCTGTGTTTACTTGTAAGCCTTCCTGTGAGTCAGGCTGGGAGAATGGAAGCTTGAGGGATGTGATCATGTCACCTGGTAGTGGTGGAATCCATCTTAAACCTGGTGTTTTTCCATTTAGAAGGAGGGGTGGGAATCCAGAGAAACAAAAGATTCTCTCCTTCAGCCAAAGCTATAAAAGGGGGTGGAACAGAACAAAGGGGGTTGCCAGTCATCAGAAATCCCCTAGTTACCACTTGTACCGGGGAAAGGATTGGGCCCAGACTAAGGAGTCTAGTCTGTGAAAGTAGCTTATTGGAACATCTCTGAGGGTGAGATTTACCTGTATTCAGTTTCTTAAATGAATTAGGCTTAGACTTGTGTATTTTGTTTTATTTTGCTTGGTAACTTACTTTGTTCTGTCTGTTATTACTTGAAACCACTTAAATCCTACTTTTTATACCCCAGGAGCGAGGACCAAAGTCTCAGCCCGCCCGAGCCCCGCCAAAGCCCGAGCCCCACCATCCTGGGCAGGGGGGCCAAAGCCCAAGGGCTTCAGCTCCCGGCAGGGGGCCTGTAACCTGAACCCCACCCTTGGGCTTTGGCATCGGCCCACGATGGTGGGACTCAGACTTTGGCTTTGGTCCTGGGCCCCAGCAAGTCTAAGCCAGTCCTGGCAACCCCATTAAAATGGGGTCCCGAACCACTTAATTGTCCCAACCCACAGTCTGAGAACTGCTGGTCTAAGAAGACCAACCAGACCGATGGATGGGTAAATAAACAGAGACACAGAGGGGTGAAGGGACTTGCTTAAGGTCATGCAGCACGCCACTGACGGAGCTGGGAACAGAATCCACCTCTCCTGACTCCCACTCCAGTATCCTACCTACTAGACCATGCTGCCTTTCATGTGATGAAAGCCTCTGTGTGGTGCAGGTGAGCTTGGTTGGAGGGGGCATACACTGCTCTGATTCATATGGCAGTGGCAACTAACTGTTAGGTGAAAGAATAAAACCAAACCTCTATAGGCAGGGTTCCTACTCTGTGCTGACAACTATGATTTGATCCAAACCAGAGCAATTATTAGCTAAAACTGGCCCACAGACTTTGCTCCTGCATAGCAGGATGAGCTGGATTATACTGTTCAAAATAATTGAACACGTTGTTTTACTAGTGAATTGTATTTATTCAATGGTTTCTTTCTGGCACTGGTGTTCTGGCTTGCATTTCTTATGAGGCCTGTATCTCAACAGTTCAGTATGTGTTCTCTTTCTACATTTCCAAAATAAAATTTATTTTGCTTAGTTTGCAGCTATTTTTATTTTAAAAGATCAATCTTAGACACTTGGACACTACAGTGCTAATAAACAATGGCCACATAAACACCACCCTATACCGGAAACCTACTGACCGCTATTCCTACCTGCATGCCTCCAGCTTTCACCCTGACCACACCACACGATCCATCGTCTACAGCCAAGCTCTGCGATACAACCGCATTTGCTCCAACCCCTCAGACAGAGACAAACACCTACAAGATCTCTGTCAAGCTTTCTTACAACTACAATACCCACCTGCAGAAGTAAAGAAACAGATTGATAGAGCCAGAAGAGTTCCCAGAAGTTACCTACTACAGGACAGGCCTAACAAAGAAAATAACAGAACGCCACTAGCCGTCACCTTCAGCCCCCAACTAAAACCCCTCCAACGCATTATTAGGGATCTACAACCTATCCTAAAGGATGACCCAACACTCTCACAAGTCTTGGGAGACAGGCCAGTCCTTGCCTACAGACAGCCCCGCAACCTGAAGCAAATACTCACCAACAACCACATACCACACAACAGAACCACTAACCCAGGAACTTATCCTTGCAACAAAGCCCGTTGCCAATTGTGCCCACATATCTATTCAGGGGACACCATCACAGGGCCTAATAACATCAGCCACGCTATCAGAGGCTTGTTCACCTGCACATCCACCAATGTGATATATGCCATCATGTGCCAGCAATGCCCCTCTGCCATGTACATTGGTCAAACTGGACAGTCTCTACGTAAAAGAATAAATGGACACAAATCAGATGTCAAGAATTATAACATTCATAAACCAGTCGGAGAACACTTCAGTCTCTCTGGTCACGCAATCACAGACATGAAGGTCGCTATCTTAAAACAAAAAAACTTCAAATCCAGACTCCAGCGAGAAACTGCTGAATTGGAATTCATTTGCAAATTGGATACTATTAATTTAGGCTTAAATAGAGACTGGGAGTGGCTAAGTCATTATGCAAGGTAGCCTGTTTCCTCTTGTTTTTTCCTACCCCCCCCCCCCCCCCAGATGTTCTGGTTTAACTTGGATTTAAACTTGGAGAGTGGTCAGTTTAGATGAGCTATTACCAGCAGGAGAGTGAGTTTGTGTGTGTATGGGGGTGGGGGGGATGTGAGAAAACCTGGATCTATGCAGGAAATAGCCCGACTTGATTATGTAAAGAGTTGTCACTTTGGATGGGCTAGCACCAGCAGGAGAGTGAATTTGTGTGGGGGGGTGGAGGGTGAGAAAACCTGGATTTGTGCTGGAAATGGCCCACCTGTTGATCACTTTAGATAAGCTATTACCAGCAGGACAGTGGGGTGGGAGGAGGTATTGTTTCATATTCTCTGTGTGTATATAAAGTCTGCTGTAGTTTCCATGGTATACATCTGATGAAGTGAGCTGTAGCTCAGGAAAGCTCATGCTCAAATAAATTGGTTAGTCTCTAAGGTGCCACAAGTACTCCTTTTCTTTTTAATCTTAGAATCATAGAATATCAGGGTTGGAAGGGACCTCAGGAGGTCATCTAGTCCAACCCCCTGCTCAAAAGCAGGACCAATCCCCAATTAAATCATCCCAGCCAGGGCTTTGTCAAGCCTGACCTTAAAAACTTCTAAAAAAGGAGATTCCACCACCTCCCAATATTTATGTCCTTTCTAAGCTGAGCAGTAGTTTGTGTGCAGTATATTTCTAGTAGGCGTTTGTTCTCATGGAGAGAATTTTGCATAGGGTGATGGTACAGCTGAGCCATTCCTCAGAGAGGAAGCTTTTTACCTTTTGAGTAGTTTGGCTGAAAATCTCAGAATTGGGGAGATTTCCAACAGCATTGCTGTGTTTTCACTCTCTATATTGAAACAGACAAGGCTGTTAACAGCAAAAACAACGAGGAGTCCTTGTGGCACCGTAGAGACTAACAAATGTATTTGGGCATAAACTGTTACAGTGAGTGGAAACCTTCCTCAGCCGCTCCTAGTTGCCCTGCAGGAAAACACCCTTCCTGCTCCATGGCGTGCAGCGGGAGCGGATACTGCTGCACGTGTCTCTCCTGCGCTTGAACCATGCTGGGCTCTCTCACGCTTGGACAGCAGAACGTGGGCGCTGGGGAATTAGGCTGCAACCGTGCACCCCTCGGAAGGAAAAACTGCAGACATGAGAAAAGGCAGATGGGACCTCCCCAGCGTTTGTGAGGACTTGCGTAGTCTCTCCTAGTCCTCCCTCCACCCCTGTTTTGGATACAGCTGAACCTTTACCAAGAGGAGGATTTTGATCTGTGGAAACACTTGTTTAAAAAGCTCTGGTCCTTGCTGCTTCACCAACACCCTGGTGCAAGCTGCAGTGTGCAACCATGGCTCTAGAGCACTGACGGGTTTGGTTTTGTGGACAGGAGCTGGTTGGTTTGGTTTTATGGACAGGAAAACAGCCGTGTTCTCCGAGGATGAAATTCTCTGCTCACATCCCGGCTCTGCTCTGCTCTCAAGACATGTACCTGTCATAGCTGGAGAGCAGGCTCGCAGAGTGGAGCTGCAGCGTGTAGATCCGAAAAGAGGATTTTGCCTTAGGTGCAAACACTTGTTGGGAAAGAATATGCTGCAAGAACACTATTGCAAGCAAGAGTGGTTGGGAGGACCATGACTGTGGAAGACTGTTTGCAATATATAAAGGGAGAGAAAGGTGCATTCTCACACTCAGCGTTATAAACTCTTCTCTTGGGGTCCCATGCTGCAGCACAGCTGAGATACTCTGCTTCCCTCTTTTCTCTGCGGTTTTCAAACAGCAGGTCACGACCCAGTACTGCATGACGAAATGTAAGGCACTGGGTCATGGCGTTAAAAGTCCCTTTGGTGGTGCTGCCCGGCTAAGGCAGGCTAGTTGCTTCCTGTTCTTACACCCTGCTGTGGCCTGGAAGTGGCCAAGAGCAGATCTGGCTCCCAGGCAGGGGTGCCATGGGGTTTTGTCCGCTGCGCCCCGCCCAGAGCACCGGTTCCAGGCGCCTCTGCCTAGGAGCTGGGTCTGCTGCTGGCCGCTTCCAGTGCGCAGCGCGGTCCACAGGGCCAGGACAGGCAGGAAGCCTGCCTTAGCATCCCCGCTGCACCGTTGACCGGGAGCCGCCCGAGGTAAGCCTACTCCCCAACCCCCTGCCCCAGCTCTGAGCCCCCCCAAACCCCTCATCCCCAGCCCCCCCAGAGCCTGCACCCCCACCCAGAGCCCTGAACCCTTCCCACACCCCAACCCCATGCCCCGGCCCTGAGGCCCCCCAAACCCAGAGAGCCCTCCTGCACCCCAAAACCCTCATCCCTAGCCCCACCCCAGAGCCTGCACCCCAAGCCCAGAGTCCTGACCTCCTCCTACACCCCAAGCCCCTGCCCTAATCCAGAGCCCCCTTCCACACCCTGAACCCCTCATTGCCAGCCCCACCCCGCAGCCCTCACTCCCACACCCCAACCCTCTACCCCAGCCATGAGCCCCCCCCCAAACTCAGAGACCCCTCCTGCACCCCAAACCCTCATCCCTGGCCGCACCCCAGAGCCTGCACCCCAAGCCCAGACCTCCTCCTACACCCCAAGCCCCTGCCCTAATCCAGAGCCCCCTTCCACACCCTGAACCCCTCATTGCCAGCCCCACTCCGCAGCCCTCACTCCCGCACCCCAACCCTCTGCCCCAGCCCTGAGCCCCCCAAACCCCTCATCCCCAACTCCGCTGGGTCGCGGGCATCAAAAATTTTCTTCAACTGGGTCGCCAGAAAAAAAAAAAAAAAACAACTTTGAAAACCAGCTGGCCCCCCCCTTCGGACAACACGGCCCCCAGGAGCGAAGCCTCAGCCCGCCCCAGCCCTGCGGCACTGGGTGGGGAGACCAAAGCCCGAGCCTCACCGTCCCGGGAAGGGGGGCCCGAGCCCGAGGGCTTCGGCCCCCGCAGGGCCGTCCTTAGGCATACGCGACTGCGTAGGGCACCCCGAAATCTGGGGCACCACCCTCGCCGGCTGCTGCGCGGACTCCTCTCCTCCCCTCCCCAGGGCCGGGCCGGCTTCTCCCCGACCGGCCACGCTGGCCCCTCCGCTCCGCCTCAGCAGGGGGGGCACGGAAGTTTGCATGTAAGTAAGCGGGGGGGGGGATACCCGGAGTCTGGGGAGAGAGCGGGGTGGGGGGATACCCGGAGTCTGGGGAGAGACGGGGGGCGGGTAGAGCCGGGCATGCGACGTTGCGGGGCGGAGGAGGACCCGAGCTGGGGAGCTGGGGGGGGGGATACCTGGAGGCTGGGAAGAGAGCGGGGAGCCGAGCTCGGGGGTAGAGCTGGGCACGGGACTTTGGGGAGCCCGGGGACGAAGGAGGACCCGGGCTGGGGATTGCTGGGGGCAGCCGGGCTGGGAAGGGAAAAGAGCTGGGGGGGGTCTTTGTCTGGCTCAGTGAGTGAGCAGCCAACTCGCTAGGGCCTCCTGGGGAGCAGGCTGGTGGCCCCAGGGGAGAGCAGCTGTTCCGAGCAGCCCCCCACTGTACCTGCCCCTTTCCCCTCTTCCGCCCACACGCCCTGCCCCGGCAACACCCTGCAATCTCTCTCCTGGTCTCCTTTTCTCTCCACCTCCCTCTGCTCTGAAGTTTAAGCCCAGATGCTAAGGATCCCCTTTGGACTGTTATCTTTTCTCCCCTCCCTTTCCCAGCAGGGATCAGCAGCAGAGACGGGCTGGGAGGAGGGAGAGGCGCACACACAACCAGGCTGGGGAGGAGGCTTTTCCTGCCCATTCACAATATTCCAATGTCAACATGAGGAAACTGACACTAAAACAATGGGAAGAGGGGGGGTGTACTGGAGCAGAAAAGCAGCAATCAGGACTGCAGAATGCAAGGGAGGGAGCAACTTCTTAGCTGGGGAGGGAGATGGACTCACACTTGACAAGGCTGGAGTAGCTGAAAACTTTTATTTAGGGAAAAGGGACGTGATTTTTTTTTTTCTTGTGGATCCAAGTATCTCCAGGGCTGCCTCTTAAGCTGGTAGCATTTTGAACGAGGGAGAGTTCTAAACAGTGCAGCGTTGAGTGGGATTTTAAAGGTCCCTTCAAGAGTGCAGCACCTTCTTCCTCACCCACGGGAAAGACCTTTAAAAACGGCTTTAAATAATCCAAAACAAGAGCCACTGTTCAAATGAGATGTGGCTCGTTATGGCTCCAGCCCCCCGTTGAAGCATTGTTGAAACTGCGTGCCGAGTTATACCCAGTACAATCCCACTGAGCCGTGTGTGGCAACCAGGAGTGTAAATCAGGGCAGAAAAAAACACTGGTGCCTGAATATAATTCCTTTTCTTTTTAAACTGCATCTCCCAAGTTCCTCTTCATTTGTCAGGATTAGAGGGAAATGCTCTATTTTAGGGAGAATGAAAGGCCATTTGGGAGTTGATGGCCCAGAGCCGTGGCAGGCAAGGGCCTGGATGAGGGCTGGACTCAGCCATTGGTATCAGCTGTTCATTTGAATGACAAAAAAGAGATTTTGGGTCATGGTGGACATCCCAGCCATCATGTAAAATATTTCCCTGTGGCCTTTTGACATGCACACAGAGGTATCTCACTGCCAAGTACCTATCCTGGGTGGGGTGGAGTGGGGAGGGAGAAGGCTGCAGGGTGATCTCCCACCTCCATGCAGCCAGTGGCCTATGCTTGCTGGAGCCTCCACATTTATTTATTGACAAAATTTAATATTTTGGTGCTGAATTCCATCAGGAATATGGGCTGCTGGGCATTTGGGGGGAGGGCTGTGAGAGGGGCACTGGGCAGCGGGGGTGGTGTCTTTGGGTGGGAGATCGCTGGGCATAGGGTTCTGTGGTGGAGATCTCTGGGTGAGGAGCCACTGGGCATGGGGGTTGCTGGCCATAAGGGGGAATGGGATACTGGGCAGGGTAGTGGTGTGATGGGGCACGCTGGCAGTGCAGGGCTGGGTTTGGGGGTGCAGGTGAGTGGGAAGTGCGGGGGTTAGGGGTGAAGGCAGCACAATTAAACTGTTTTTAACAAAGTGCACGTGACAAGTTTTCCAATACTGTAAGCTTATGTTTGTGTTGCTAAGAGCAAGTTTAATAACACTGTGTAGGCAGGGGTTCTCAAACTGGGGGGTCAGGACCCCTCAGGGGGTCACAAGTTTATTACATGGGGGGTCATGAGATATCAGCCTCCACCCCAAACCCCGCTTTGCCTCCAGCATTTATAATGGTGTTAAATATATTTTAAAGTGTTTTTAATTTATAAGAGGGGTCACACTCAGAGGCTTGCTGTGTGAAAGGGGTCACCAGCATAAAAGTTTGAGAACCATTGGCACAGGGCCCCATAAATCCTAAGGACGGCCCTGAGCCCTGCCCTTGGGCTTTGGCATCGGCCCATGGTGGTGGGACTCGGACTTTGGTTTTGGCCCTGGACCCCAGCAAGTCTAAGCCAGTCCTGGCAACCCCATTAAAATGGGGTCGTGACCCACTTCAGGGTCCTGACCCACCATTTGAGAACTGCTGGTGTAGGAAGACCAACCAGACCAAAGGATGGGTGGGTAAATAGAGGCACAGAGGGGTGAAGGGACTTGCTTAAGATCACACAGCAGGCCACTGACTGAGCTGGGACCAGAACCCACCTCTCCTGACTCCTACTCCAGGATCCTACCTGCTAGACCACTCTGTGTGGTGCAGGTGAGCTTGGTTGGAGGGGGCATACACTGCTCTGATTCATATGGCAGTGGCAGCTAACTGTTAGCTGAAAGAATAGACAGTTAAGTATGTGTACTCTTTCTACATTTCCAAAATAAAATTTATTTTGCTTAGTTTGCAGCTATTTTTGTTTTAAAAGATTAATATTTATGTCCTTTCTAAGCTGAGCAGTAGTTTGTTTGCAGTATATTTCTAGTAGGTGTTTGTTCTCATGGAGAGAATTTTGCATAGGGTGGTGGTATAGCTGAGCCATTCCCCACAGAGGAAGCTTTTTACCCTTTGAGTAGTTTGGCTGAAAATCTCAGGATGGGGGACATTTCCAGTAGCATTGCTGGGTTGTCACTGTCTATATTGAAATGGACAAGGCTTCTCCTTTTGGCTTAGATGTTGTGAGGTTTGTTATAATCCTGATTTTAATAGACTGACACCTAATTGAATTACATTTTATGTTTTTTTACCAACAATTTGACCTTACAGCAATTCCAGGTTTGTAGTTTTGTGCCGTGCTAAAGCAATTACTTTTTAAAAAAGTCTACAGAGCAGATAAATATTCTCCCCTAGCTCATTTTAGGTGGTTTTGTATATGTGTCTTCAGGGTAAAGATTTGTTTGATTCTTTGTTTCTCACGTAGGTCTGCAGCTATTGCACTTGTTAACAGGGTGGGGCTGTAGACACTAGGCCCTGGTCTACACTAGGACTTTAGGTCGAATTTAGCAGCGTTAAATCGATGTAAACCTGCACCGGTCCACACAATGAAGCCCTTTATTTCGACTTAAAGGGCTCTTAAAATCGATTTCCTTACTCCACCCCTGACAAGTGGATTAGCGCTTAAATCGACGTTGCTGGCTCGAATTTGGGGTACTGTGGACACAATTCGATGGTATTGGCCTCCGGGAGCTATCCCAGAGTGCTCCATTATGACCGCTCTGGACAGCACTCTCAACTCAGATGCACTGGCCAGGTAGACAGGAAAAGAACCGCGAACTTTTGAATCTCATTTCCTGTTTGGCTAGCGTGGCAAGCTGCAGGTGACCATGCAGAGCTCATCAGCACAGGTGACCATGATGGAGTCCCAGAATCGCAAAAGAGCTCCAGCATGGACCGAACGGGAGGTACGGGATCTGATCGCTGTTTGGGGAGAGGAATCCGTGCTATCAGAACTCCGTTCCAGTTTTCGAAATGCCAAAACCTTTGTCAAAATCTCCCAGGGCATGAAGGACAGAGGCCATAACAGGGACCCAAAGCAGTGCCGCGTGAAACTGAAGGAGCTGAGGCAAGCCTACCAGAAAACCAGAGAGGCGAACAGCCGCTCTGGGTCAGAGCCCCAAACATGCCGCTTCTATGATGAGCTGCATGCCATTTTAGGGGGTTCAGCCACCACTACCCCAGCCGTGTTGTTTGACTCCTTCAATGGAGATGGAGGCAATACGGAAGCAGGTTTTGGGGACGAAGAAGATGATAGCTCACAGCAAGCAAGCGGAGAAACCGGTTTTCCCGACAGCCAGGAACTGTTTCTCACCCTAGACCTGGAGCCAGTACCCCCCGAACCCACCCAAGGCTGCCTCCTGGACCCAGCAGGCGGAGAAGGGACCTCTGGTGAGTGTACCTTTTAAAATACTATACATGGTTTAAAAGCAAGCATGTGAAAGGATTACTTTGCCCTGGCATTTGCGGTTCTCCTAGATGTAGTCCTAAAGCCTTTGCAAAAGGTTTCTGGGGAGGGCAGCCTTATTGCGTCCTTCATGGTAGGACACTTTACCACTCCAGGCCAGTAACACGTACTCGGGAATCATTGTAGAACAAAGCATTGCAGTGTATGTTTGCTGGCATTCAAACAACATCCGTTCTTTATCTCTCTGTGTTATCCTCAGGAGAGTGAGATATAATTCATGGTCACCTGGTTGAAATAGAGTGCTTTTCTTCAGGGGACACTCAGAGGAGCCCATTCCTGCTGGGCTGTTTGCCTGTGGCTAAACAGAAATGTTCCCCGCTGTTAGCCACAGGGAGGGGGGAAGGTTGAGGGGGTAGTCACGCGGTGGGAGGAGGCAAAATGCGACCTTGTAACGAAAGCACATGTGCTATGTATGTAATGTTAACAGCAAGGTTTACCCTGAAAGAGTGTAGCCACTGTTTTATAAAATGTGTCTTTTTAAATACCGCTGTCCCTTTTTTTTTCTCCACCAGCTGCATGTGTTTCAATGATCACAGGATCTTCTCCTTCCCAGAGGCTAGTGAAGCTTAGAAAGAAAAAAAAACGCACTCGCGATGAAATGTTCTCCGAGCTCATGCTGTCCTCCCACACTGACAGAGCACAGACGAATGCGTGGAGGCAAATAATGTCAGAGTGCAGGAAAGCACAAAATGACCGGGAGGAGAGGTGGCGGGCTGAAGACAGGGCTGAAGCTCAAATGTGGCGGCAGCGTGATGAGAGGAGGCAGGATTCAATGCTGAGGCTGCTGCAGGACCAAACCAGTATGCTCCAGTGTATGGTTGAGCTGCAGCAAAGGCAGCTGGAGCACAGACTGCCACTACAGCCCCTGTGTAACCAACCGCCCTCCTCCCCAAGTTCCATAGCCTCCACACCCAGACGCCCAAGAACGCGGTGGGGGGGCCTCCGGCCAACCAGCCACTCCACCACAGAGGATTCCCCAAAAAAAAGAAGGCTGTCATTCAATAAATTTTAAAGTTGTAAACTTTTAAAGTGCTGTGCTTAAAGTGCTGTGTGGCATTTTCCTTCCCTCCTCCACCACCCCTCCTGGGCTACCTTGGTAGTCATCCCTCTGTTTGTGTGATGAATGAATAAAGAATGCATGAATGTGAAGCAACAATGACTTTATTGCCTCTGCAAGCGGTGATTGAAGGGAGGAGGGGCGGGTGGTTAGCTTACAGGGAAGTAGAGTGAACCAAGGGGCGGGGGGTTTCATCAAGGAGAAACAAACAGAACTTTCACACCGTAGCCTGGCCAGTCATGAAACTGGTTTTCAAAGCTTCTCTGATGTGTACCGCGCCCTCCTGTGCTCTTCTAACCGCCCTGGTGTCTGGCTGCGCGTAACCAGCAGCCAGGCGATTTGCCTCAACCTCCCACCCCGCCATAAACGTCTCCCCCTTACTCTCACAGATATTGTGGAGCACACAGCAAGCAGTAATAACAGTGGGAATATTGGTTTCGCTGAGGTCTAAGCGAGTCAGTAAACTGCACCAGCGCGCCTTTAAACGTCCAAATGCACATTCTACCACCATTCTGCACTTGCTCAGCCTGTAGTTGAACAGCTCCTGACTACTGTCCAGGCTGCCTGTGTACGGCTTCATGAGCCATGGCATTAAGGGGTAGGCTGGGTCCCCAAGGATACATATAGGCATTTCAACATCCCCAACAGTTATTTTCTGGTCTGGGAATAAAGTCCCTTCCTGCAGCTTTTGAAACAGACCAGAGTTCCTGAAGATGCGAGCATCATGCACCTTTCCCGGCCATCCCACGTTGATGTTGGTGAAACGTCCCTTGTGATCCACCAGAGCTTGCAGCACTATCGAAAAGTACCCCTTGCGGTTTATGTACTCGGCGGCTTGGTGCTCCGGTGCCAAGATAGGGATTTGGGTTCCGTCTATAGCCCCACCACAGTTAGGGAATCCCATTGCAGCAAAGCCATCCACTATGACCTGCACATTTCCCAGGGTCACTACCCTTGATATCAGCAGATCTTTGATTGCATGGGCTACTTGCATCACAGCAGCCCCCACAGTAGATTTGCCCACTCCAAATTGATTCCCAACTGACCGGTAGCTGTCTGGCGTTGCAAGCTTCCACAGGGCTATCGCCACTCGCTTCTCAACTGTGAGGGCTGCTCTCATCTTGGTATTCATGCGCCTCAGGGCAGGGGAAAGCAAGTCACAAAGTTCCATGAAAGTGCCCTTATGCATGCGAAAGTTTCGCAGCCACTGGGAATCGTCCCAGACCTGCAACACTATGCGGTCCCACCAGTCTGTGCTTGTTTCCCGAGCCCAGAATCGGCGTTCCACAGCATGAACCTGCCCCATTAGCACCATGATGCATGCATTGTCAGGGCCCATGCTTTCAGAGAAATCTGTGTCCATGTCCTGATCACTCACGTGACCGCGCTGACATCGCCTCCTCGCCCGGTATCGCTTTGCCAGGTTCTGGTGCTGCATATACTGCTGGATAATGCGTGTGGTGTTTAATGTGCTCCTAATTGCCAAAGTGAGCTGAGCGGCCTCCATGCTTGCCTTGGTATGGCGTCCGCACAGAAAAAAGGCGCGGAACGATTGTCTGCCGTTGCTCTGACGGAGGGAGGGGCGACTGACGACACGGCTTACAGGGTTGGCTTCAGGGAGCTAAAATCAACAAAGGGGGTGTCTTTACATCAAGGAGTATTTCAGGCAGGACTTCACGGAGGGTTCCAATAAGAAATGATGCACCTAAGTTATCGTTCTTATTGGAACAAGGAGGTTAGCCTGGCCTCTGATTGATACATGGCTAGATTTACCTCGCTGCACCTTCTCTGTGAGTGACTGCAGTGTGACCTAGAGGAATGAGTCCCCTAGACAGGGGAGGAGGCAAATGAGTACAAAACAAATCTGGTCTATTTCTTGTTTTGACCCACTCCATCTATCTTTTACATCTTTGGCTGGCAGCAGACGGTGCAGAAGGACTGCATGCCATCCACATCTCATGGCTGCTCGGCAGAAGATGGTACAGTACGACTGCTAGCCATCCTCATCTCTTGCCTGCCTGGCAGAAGATGGTACAATACGACTACTAGCAATCCACATCTCATGGCTGCTCGGCAGAAGATGGTACAGTACGACTGCTAGCAGTCCGTATTGCCTGCCCACTCACCATAAGACGGTTCAATAGGACTGACTGCAGGACTAAAGAGAATGACCTGGTCAAGTCACTCCAAATTTAGTCCCTGCGCCCATGTCTGCCCAGGCGCTCCCAGCCGACGTGGCCAGGAGCACCTCGGACACGACGAGGACGACTACCAGTCGTATTGCACCGTCTGCTGCCAGAAGGCAATGGGTTGCTGCTACTGTGTAGCAATGCCGTACCGCGTCTGCCAGCACCCAGGAGACATAGGGTGACGGTTACCTGAGCGGGCTCCATGCTTGCCGTGGTATGGCATCTGCACAGGTAACTCAGGAAAAAAGGCGCGAAGCGATTGTCTGCCCTTGCTTTCACGGAGGGAGGGAGGGAACGGGGGCCTGACGATACGTACCCAGAACCACCCGCGACAATGTTTTAGCCCCATCAGAGTGCTCCATTGTGACTGCTCTGGACAGCACTCTCAGATGCCCGATTGTTTGCCGTTGCTCTGACGCCGGGAGGGGCGACTGAGGACACGGCTTACAGGGTTGGCTTCAGGGAGCTAAAATCAACAGAGGGGGTGTCTTTACATCAAGGAGTATTTCAGGCAGGACTTCACGGAGGGTTCCAATAAGAAATGGTGCACCTAAGTTATCGTTCTTATTGGAACAAGAAGGTTAGCCTGGCCTCTGATTGATACATGGCTAGATTTACCTCGCTGCACCTTCTCTGTGAGTGACTGCAGTGTGACCTAGAAGAATGAGTCCCCTAGACAGGGGAGGGGGGGAAGCAAATGAGTACAAAACAAATCTGGTCTATTTCTTGTTTTGATCCACTCCATCTATCTTTTACATCTTTGGCTGGCAGCAGAGGGTGCAGAAGGACTGCATGCCATCCACATCTCATGGCTGCTCGGCAGAAGATGGTACAGTACGACTGCTAGCAGTCCGTATTGCCTGCCCGCTCACCATAAGACGGTTCAATAGGACTGACTGCAGGACTAAAGAGAATGACCTGGTCAAGTCACTCCAAATTTAGTCCCTGCGCCCATGTCTGCCCAGGCGCTCCCAGCCGACGTGGCCAGGAGCACCTCGGACATGACGATGACGGCTACCAGTCGTACTGTACCGTCTGCTACCACAAGGCAAGGGGTTGCTGCTACTGTGTAGCAATGCCGTACTGCGTCTGCCAGCACCCAGGAGACATAGGGTGACGGTTACCTGAGCGGGCTCCATGCTTGCCGTGGTATGGCGTCTGCACGGGTAACTCAGGAAAAAAGGCGCGAAACGATTGTCTGCCCTTGCTTTCACGGAGGGAGGGAGGGAACGGGGGCCTGACGATATGTACCCAGAACCACCCGCGGCAATGTTTTAGCCCCATCAGGCATTGGGATCTCAACCCAGAATTCCAATGGGCAGCGGAGACTGTGGGAACTGTGGGATAGCTACCCACAGTGCAACGCTCCGGAAGTCGACTCTAGCCTCGGTACTGTGGAAGCGCTCTGCCGAGTTAATGCACTTAATGCACTTAGAGCATTTTCTGTGGGGACACACACACTCGAATATATAAAACCGATTTCTAAAAAACCGACTTCTATAAATTCGACCTTATTCCGTAGTGTAGACATACCCTGAGTATCAAGTGCAGGGCTGGCATTGGATATACCTGTGTGGGTGAGGCTGTAGATACTTTTTTCAGAGGAACAGCCGTGTTAGTCTGTATTCGCAAAAAGAAAAGGAATACTTGTGGCACCTTAGAGACTAACCAATTTATTTGAGCATGAGCTTTCGTGAGCTACAGCTCACTTCATCAGATGAAGTGAGCTGTAGCTCACGAAAGCTCATGCTCAAATAAATTGGTTAGTCTCTAAGGTGCCACAAGTATTCCTTTTCTTTTTGCTGTAGATACTGAATACCTGGAGCTAAGATGCTATTGGGTACCTGTGTACTAGGGGTGTGAGTTTCTGGGAGGGTTGGACAGCTCTCTTTGCCATATAGCTCAGATTGGTTGCTTGTGGGGAGCTCATGATGGGGGGGCCGGGGAGAGGGTTTGGTTGGTTAGAATCAGCGTGTTCTGGGAATGGATCTCTCCTTATGTCTGGGCTTCCTACGTAGACCTGGTATTCAGCTGCCAGTGGATTCCGAGATCTTACTGCCAGTTTGATTGTGGCTTGTTGTTGTGTATGTGGTTTTTTTTGTTTTATTTTTTTGGGTATTTTTTAGTGGAATAACCCAGTGAAAGGGAGTTGTCTCCAATTTCTGCCCATTGTGTTCAGGTTTCAGATTTTCTGGGGTAAACTCTGCAAATGCAAACCCAGTGCAGTTCTATTGAACTGGGCTATTGAGTTTGGCAGATACTGCTGCTGTAGTAGAAGCAAATGACTACGCCCTGACTGGGGATAAAGGGAAAAGCCTTCCTGGAATTGAACCTCAGGGATTCTAGTGCTTGATACTGACCAGGAGAGGAAACCCCTTGGCTGCAGAACAGTTCTCCTTGTAAACAGACGGCGAGTATTTTCTTTTGCTTGTTAAAAACTAACCCGATCTGCTCAGATAGGCAAAACACACTTCACTCCCTCCTTTGGTAAAGGTGCTTCCTATGCCCTCAGGCTGGTATGGGTATGGGCCTTTGACTTGCAAAAGTTATAATGTTCTGGGCTGAAATGGGGCTTTCTGCTTGACTGTCAGCAAAGTTGTAGAGATCCCCAGTCAGTGCATGTCTCTCGCCTCTCATTATAGGTGAGTCAATGGCTAATTTTAATAAAACTGAATCTAAAATAAACCAATTTGTCTACTGATGCTTTTAAAATAAATATACTAGAATCTTAGTATAAAAAGCTAAACAAGGACAAGAGAGCCACGTCCATTAAGATACATTTAAATAATTGTCCATCATTTCCATATAGACAGATGGGGCGTGGGAGGGGAGGTTTCTTTTA